GCCAGGCCCATGTCCGAGTCCCAGCCTCAGCCTCAGGATGAGTAGGAGTATGAGTCCCACTCTCGCTCGTCCGCGTCCTCGTCGTCGTCGACGTGCACCTGCGCGTTCTCCTCGTCGTCGTCGTGGTCGTGGTCGTGCAGGTGCACCTGCGCCTCCCCGTCAGGATCAAGGTCAAGTGCGAGAGGGAGAGGGAGAGGGAGAGGGAGAGGGAGAGGGAGAGGGAGAGGGAGAGGGAGAGGGAGGAATGCACACCGCCGAGGACCCGACCCAGCCACCACCCTGCTCCGCCTGCAGCCGCCGCAGCACCTCCGACATCAGCTGGCCGACGTTTGGCGCGCTCTGCACGCGGTGGCGGCCCTGCCCCGTATCGCGCAGCCGGTAGCCGCCGCTGAGGAGGTCCTGCGTGCCAAACGCGCCAGCCTCGGGGCGGGGAGAGATGGGGAGATCTTCCGCCTCTAGGGAGGAGGGCCTTCTCGGCGAGAGCCCACATGCGGGGCAGCTGCGCGAGCACCGCCCGCCTACGGCGCGGCACACCTCGGCCGGAGCTCGGCGAGGAGCTCGGCGGAGCTCGGCGCGACACGCCAGCACCGCCCGCCACAGCAGCAGACTCTGCTCGACGTAGGCGTACTGCGACGCGTGCGAGTGCGACAGCCGCGCGCCGCCTGGGCGGAGGGGAGGGTACAACCGAGGTGCAAGCGGAGGTGCAAGCGGAGGTGCGTGCATCAAGCCGCCGGAGAGAGGCGACTGCGCGCGGCGCTCCTCGGCCGGCGGTGATCTGGAGCGACGCGCTTGCGGCGCCGCCCGGGCCGACGCTGGTCGAGGCGGGCGAGAAGTGTGTCCGCAGCAGCCGCAGCATCGCGTCGACGGGCGAGACGTGCGCCTGCGGCGAGAGGGCGCCGAGAGGGTGCCGAGAGATGGACCCTCGGCTAGACCTCGGCTAGACCTCGGCTAGACCTCGGCTGGACCTCGGCTGGACCTCGGCTGGACCTCGGCTAGAGCTCGCCTCGACGAGGCACGCGTGGTCGGCCAGCGAGAGCAAGCACCGCTCGAGCCGCACAGCACGCTCAGCGTCCCCGTCGGCGAAGCGCGCGAGCAGCCGCGCCGTTGCGGCCGCCTTGGCGTCTGCCGCCTCCGCCGAGTGGGCGGGGCTGGCGGCGAGAGGCAGCTCCGGCTCCTCCAGCAGGTCGAGGCAGGAGAGGAGAGCGAGCTCGGCGTGCACCGTCTGCACGCGCGAGAGCGGATCGAACCCCAGCTCTCTGATGACGTCGGGCGCGGTGGCGTCCTGCGAGCAGGGCGCAACAGCTCCGCGAGTCGGTGCCTCGGCTGTGGTCGTGGCTCTGTCTCGGCTCCAGCTCGCCTGCAACATGTAGATGAGCTTGCCGTACGACGCTCGCATCTTGTCCGGGTTCATGCCCTTGAACCGTCGGCCGACCTCGAACGCCTCGCGGAAGACGTCCGCGTTCGCCTCCAGACACGGCTCGTGACTCACCTGAAGACAAGCAGAGGGAGCTTCAAGCCTCCCGCGCCAAGCTGCCGACGGCCGTGCTGCCAAGGCGCCTTGAGCGAGGCGGCGACGGCGAGGCCGGTCATATAGGCCAGCATCTCCTGCAGCTCCTCCACCGCGCGTCCCGTCCTCGCGCCGCGCCACGCCATGACCGAGTCGACCCTGTCGGTGTACTCGGAGACTGAGAGCGCACCTGGATTGTCGCAGAGGAGTGAGAGTGCGTCTGTCGAGCCGTGCGCTGCGAGGGCTGAAGAGCGCCCTCGAGAACGCAGAGGAGCGCCCTTTCTCGGTCGTTCAGCCGGAGAGGGATGTACTCGTCCGCGGGCGAGGAAGGGCCGGCCGTGGGACGGGCGACAACAGAGGCGATCATCGGCGGCTACAGTGCCGCCGGGTGAGGACTCTCGAGCGAGGTACTCGTAGGATAAAAAGAAATTCTAAACGGCCTCCCGGAGAGCTTGTTGGCGAGCCAAAATGGTGTTTTCCGAGGCGCTGCGCTAGGCTCAGAGCGAGTTCGCGCTGCGCTAGGCTCAGACGGCGAGTTCGCGCTGCGCTAGGCTCACAGATGGCGAGTGGTGCGCTGCGATAGATTTGCGCTGCGAGGATGAAAAGACCCCTTCTAGGAGCCGACAGTGGCCAGGGCGCAGGGGCGGGGCTTATTTTTGCCGTCGCCTCTCGCCAGTCGCCCCCCCCCCCAAACGCTACAGACGGTGGGTAGGGGGGTGGGGAGCTGCCGTGTTCCAGCCGTGTGGTGCCGTTTCTCTGACTCGCTGTGTAGACCTGTAGTGTAATCTAGAGGTAGAACCGTTATAAGGAAGGCGTAAAATATTGAATATATTGCTCCAATAGTTAGAGATGCGATCAATATCAATGTAATGGCAATAGTTATAGAGGAGAGGCTGGGCCTGGGCTGGTCAGGACCGTCAGGTGGGCCTGGGCTTGAAAGTGGCTCTAAATCGTTAAAAACGGGCCAAAATCGCTTCGAAATCGCTTAAACCGCATTAAAAATCGCCTTGAACTCGCGATTTTTTCGATTTCAGCCCACATCTAGGCAATGTTTGGGACAAATGGCGACATTGGTGCTTTTGGAGGTTAAAATCAGCGATCAATATGTCAATATATTGTCAATAGTTAGAGGGGATGCTGTCAATAATCAATATCAATAGTTAGAGGGGCGAGAATCAATATTTTACGCCTTCCTTAGAACCGTAGCGCGTAGGACGACATGTCAGGCCTCGCGGTGTTGCGCGCTATATCTCTCAGCCCTACACGCAGCCAAGGGAGCACACGGCCGGGGGGAGCCGGTCCGGTGTTTTGACGCGGAGGAGTGCGACGAAGTCCGTCGACGCACTTGTTCTCTGTGTGGGAAACGTATCGCGGCGCGTGCGCGGGGCTGGGGTGAAGAGGAGTAGCGAGAGGACGCCCTTTCGGCGCGCGTGTATTCCAGCTCAACACAAAGACGCTCAAACGAAGCACACGCCCCCGGCCCCATCAGTGTTTGGCTGTGCAGCTCGGCACGCCGCGCGACGCGGAAGCCGCTGTCGACGCCCCTTGCCAGCGCGGTATGGAGGAGGGGCTCGAGGGCGACGAGTTACTCTTCTGCCCGGGCGACGTGGCAGGCGAGGCTGCGGCGGAGGGTGAGGCCTCGCCCTCCTCGGACGGCGCGGCGCTCCAGGCGTCGTCGGCCTGCGCAGCGGAGGAGGAGAAGGTGGAGATGCGATCTCGTGTGATCTCGTGTGATCTCGAGCGGTCTCGCCTGGTAGAAGAGGATGTAGCCGGTCTCTGTGGAGCCGGCCGACTCGAGCGCGGACCTGTTCACAGCTGCAGGTGTGAAGAGACGCTGTTCACAGCACCTCGGCCGACTCGAGCGCGGACCCGAAGCACGACTGGAGCGACCCCTCCTCGACGAGGTCGACGGTGTCGTCGTCGAAGAGGAGCCAGTGCTTGTGCGAGCGGACGAGGCAGATGTAGTGGCCGTGCGACGGCCCCGCACCGACGTGCACGACGACGGCGAAGAGCGAGTACTTTCGGTCCGGCTCCGCCGCCGTCTCTGCCGTGTTGGTCAGCTTGAGCTCGAGGGGGAAGGCGATCCGGTACGACAGCTTCTTGAAGCGCTGCAGCTGCTCCACGTACTTGAAGCGCTTCAGGTGCAGCGCGAGCACGTTTGGCAGCCGCTTGACCCGCATGCAGCGCTTGGCCTCCTGCAGCGAGATGACCCGAGATCACCCGAGATTACCCGAGATTACCCGCGTGCAGCGCTTGGCCCTCCTGCAGCGAGCAGCACGTGTCGCAAAAGAACTTGTTGTCGCCGCGCAGCGGCTCCGACGACGAGAAGTTGCGCATGCAGGCCGAGACGGACGAGTTTTGCTCGATCTCGAGCGAGAGGTCGAGGAACCGCTCGTCGCGCGTCGTGAGCGCCTGGGCAGCACAGAGGGGCGGGAGGGTGAGGGGAGGGACGAGGGGGGAGAGGAGACTCGAGGAGACTCGAGGGACGAGGGAGGAGGGCTCGGCGCGCCTCGTAGCACACAGGGGGGGGCGAGAGGAGGGGCGAGGGGTGAGAGGGGTGAGAGGGGGTGAGAGGGGTGAGAGGGGTGAGAGGGGGTGAGGGGGGTGAGAGGAGGGGCGAGGGGTGAGAGGGGTGAGAGGGGTGGAGAGGGGTGAGAGGGGTGAGAGGGGTGAGAGGGGTGAGAGGGGTGAGAGGGGTGAGAGGGGTGAGAGGGGTGAGAGGAGGGGCGAGGGGTGAGAGGGGTGAGAGGGGTGAGAGGGGTGAGAGGGGTGAGAGGGGTGAGAGGGGTGAGAGGGGTGAGAGGGGTGAAGAGGGGTGAGAGGGGTGAAGAGGGGTGAGAGGGCGTGAGAGCAGCGCGTCCAATCTCGTCCAATCTCGTCCAATCTCGTCCAATCTCGTCCAGTCTCGTCCAGTCGCGCCTCGCAGCACATGCAGCGCGTCTCGCTCGTGAGCACGCCCTCGAAGATGGAGTGCACCTGGTGCGTTGCACGCCACGGGCAGGGGGAGGGTGGCATGCAAACCACAACATGTCCGGGAGAGGAGCCTTCTCTCGAGAGCGCACGGGGAGAGGAGGTGCGCAAGGGCGGCCGCGAGTACGGGAGCGTCGGATCGGCCGCAGACGCGTCCTCTCACCCGTCATTTGTGTGAGATGCGTCGCCAAAACACCGACCGACCGATTTCCGCATCTAGTGACGCAGATGCCCACGTCTTTGGAACGTACGCGCCTCCCTCCCCCTCCTTGCCCTCGTCCTCGTCGCCGCCCGCCGCCGCGCCG